CCAAAAAAAATAAAATAGTTTCAAAACCTAGACAAATTTATATAAAACATTAAAACTGTTCTGACCACAGCATGGTTCTGCTTAAACATTTAAAAACATGTTTTGTGTTCATGAAAATTCAAGACTTGCTTCACCAGAATACACAGCTAATCTTGCAACAATGTAATCTGTCATACTTCTAAATTGCAGTAAAATTTCATCCTGGCTCCATCAGTCATATTTTCTTTCTTTAGCATCCTCTAAAATCAATGTGGTATGGTAACTCCCCATGCAGATATTCACCAACATGCTGTTTGTACATCTATCTGACCTTGTGGACTGCAGAAAAAGTTGATGCTCATTTATGGCGGTTAGAAACATGCAGCGTAAGCAGCGTCTGAAGGTCGCTGGCGTTTTGACACTGACACTCTTTAGACGAATCTATAGTTGGACTCTGCTCATGTTTATATATAAGCATTGTTACCCTGACATGGGTGTGTCCTCAACAAATCTCAGGCGCCTTCTCGGTCATGAATGGGAGAAAAATCCATTTTTAAATGTCCAAAGTTTTGTCATTCACATCTTCTTATATAAGTACACACAACCTCCTCTATAGCTAATCCCCATGCTGATATCTGAAGGGACCAGCTGCAATGCAGCTTCACAGCTCAGCAATACTGTTTCCATTATAGCCTCTTTGCAAAATAAGTCTATTAACAGCACAACTGCTCTTCTAATTTCTGAATAAGTCTTTACATGGCATCCCTCATGCTCCCATTCACATACACTATCTGAAATTAATTAAAATGGCTTTTAAAGGCCAAGTGGCTAACTAATAAAAGTAATACATTCAAATAAAACAGAAATACTTTAAAAGCATTTATAAAAAATACATGTGATAACCTTGAAAGCAACAAAAATGTATCAACTTCATGATTTCTTTTATTCAGTGTCATTCCAGATTTACACTGCTGTTAAAAAAACTCTTGGTTGTCTTACAGATTTTTGCTACTTTTGATTGTTTTTTGTTACACTTATGCTTAAAAATTACAAAAATAACCAGATCAAAAAAGGTTTAAATAACAACTTCATTTATTATAGGGAAACGTTTAAAATGGTGGTTGCCAACAGTGGTGGCAGTGATCGCTATCAAGCACAATATTGGACAACTTTTTGCAGAATTACTTAAATTCAAGTACAGCAAAAGGAAAAATAACTATAGAGGAGAGGCAAATACTTTTCATAGGTTTATATAAGGAAGTTAGTAAAACAGCCTTGCATGATCTTTGTTATGACTGTAAATGTGCTGCAGTACAGTGATGAATGTGGGTAAATTAGCATAGCCTCTGAGCTCCTCTGACACGGTTATGACAGGTCCGATTAGGAAGATCCTGCCTCCAGCATCTTCTCTGGTCACAACATCTCTGTGTCTCAGTCTTATGCAGACTGTACTCTGACAGCTCTGGGAATATCAAGCTTTTTCATCCATAATGCAGACCCACAAGAGCTTCTCTTTTGTTGTAGACGTTAATAAAGGCATTTCACTAATTGTTTACTCAAACCTCTGTCTCATGATACAGCATTTTGTTATTTAATCATTCGTATAAACTTAATCAGATTGTTGCTGAAACACTTGGTGTACCTTAATATAATAAGGAATATAATGGATTTGAATATGCAGGAGCCTGAGGTTTATTGTTTCTAGAGGGAAGGATTGTAGGACTCCTTGGACTGCCACTCCTCTAAAAACCAACAACACAAAGCCACCTGAGATGATGCAACGCTTCAGTGAGGTTTTGATTGGTTGGAAGTTTCTGGAACCTGTAGGCCACAAAATCGGCTACAGAAAACAAGAAAATGTCACAATCACACAATCAAACAACTGCTGGAGAAACAGACTGCAGATGAAGTGGAAGACGTAACATTTCAGTCCTCAAATTATAAATTTGTGTTATTTTTATCATAGCTTTATGTTACAAAAGCATCCTTGAAATTGTTTAGATAGAATTTTAGCAACAATAGAAAAATATCCTAATTAGAATCTGATTTAGAGGATGGACATGAAAATTGTGAGTGTAATTTATAAATTGATGCATCAAAAACTCTCTAAAAGGAGAGCTAAGAATAGTATAGTGTGTAAACTCATTCATTCAGTCATTATGCATTCATTCTTTAATACATCAGTGTTTCCCTTACCAATATGTTAATGTTTTCCTGGCCACATAGAATTGGAAATGATTGCCAGCCTTACTTGGATGCAGATTTGAGAGGTCATTAAAAAATATATGGCCTAAAATGGTCCCTTGCGGAACCCCGTTTCAATTTTACGATGACAAAATGTAACATTTTACGATAGACTATTAAAGTTCCCTCAGGCATGATTCATAACATGAAACTCACTTCTCATTGTTAGGAGATTATAAACAAGAGGACAAACATTTGCTGTAGTTTTTTGACGTGCTTTGAAGCCAAACACCCTTTAATTTAGGTGTAAACTTCTCAGTTATACAGAGCCGTTCAGTTGAGACTGAAACCAGCAGGTGCCCTGGGATGGATGGGGGTGGGATGCTGAGAAGCAGCGAAAGGTGAATCAGCTTCCACCTTTGTTTCCGAGTGGCCCTGCTGGCTTTGTTTTGGAGCAGAATGAATTATTAACGGTAGCCTTCTGGTCATGTTTTTCATCAGTGTCCACCACCAAAGGTAAAGATCACTGCTCTGAGAGATCCCCTTTGACTGGCTCAGTTCATAAAGAGTAGAACTGTTTGCATAAAAGTTTGGTGGTTTTTCACGCATCACCTTTTTGTTTTTAGTTTTTCTCTCTTCATCGCCGCTTTCCTTTGTTTTCTTACAAAGCAGGTTGTCAAATTTCCACAGAATTAACAGTTAATCTCATTACTGTCTTCCAGTGAAGGTACCTAACTGCTGTGCTGTTTTCTAATACATACTGTTTGAATTAATGCATTAGGTTACTTGTTTAATAAAGAAAAGAAATGCTTTAAATAGCTGTCAAAAGAATATATTTGCATTTTTCCAATGATTGTATTCATGCTAAATTGTCACTGACTTCTTATATATGCACAGGAAAGGTAAACTCTGGACTAAATCAGGGAACATGTTGTAGAGTTTTCAGAAAATTAACTGAGTTTGAGCCGTTTGTATTTATTTTTTTCTCCGCTTGTAGCCTGGGTAATTGAGTGGGCACCACAAGCACATCATTTTGGAGCACCACTCAAGTTAATGTAATACTTTCATATTTTTGTAAGCTTCATTGCCTGGCCAGTATAAAAATGGGCTGGTAAACTACTGAAGTAGACGCGCTTGTTTTTTATTGTTTATTATTTTTAAACTTTCTGTAGGATGAAGTATAGGATGAATTTTTTGTTTTGCTGTCACTTGTTTTTTTTCTTTTATCTAAATATTTTATAAATCAAATGTAATCATTAAAAAAATTATGAAGCAATATTTTTTGATTTATGTTCTCTGCCATTAAAGGACCATTATATGCCACTGAACTCTGATTTTATGATCTCTCTACTTCATTAAATGAATTAAATGATCTAAAACCTGAAGAGTTAGACATTAATGTCTCACATTTTATGAAATTCGGTCCTATTTTGTCCTTAATTTTAAGTTAAATCTACTATACACTGGAAAGAGTTAATGGACAATATGCATAAACGCTTTGCAGTTTTAAGTTTTGTGCTAAATGGTCATTGTTAAAGAAGGTGTAGGTGCTTACAGTGCTGTAAACATGAATGTAAAAATTTAGTGGAAGGAAAATATTTAGACGATTTACAGCAAAGCCTTTTAAGAGTTTGGTGAGATTTACAAAACACGGTTTATGGACTGAGCCTCTGCAATCAGACGGGTCCTGAAAACTAGGCTAGAACTGACTGTTTCCTTATGTTAAACATTTGTACATTGTAGCTAATATTAGCTTCTGTATTCTGTTTTTGAATAGTGTATATCACTAAAGGGTAAACTATCCTAGCGATAGCCTTCATGCTAATGTTAGCTTTGTAGCTAAAATTAGCATTTTAGCTAATTTCAATAAAAAGCTCAGCTTAACACACTGAATGAAGTGTGTTAATGTTAGTCAATTACTATTGATAGCTCACATGTTATTGAGAGCATTTTTCCAACATTACATTTGTAGCTAATTTTGACCTAATACCCAAGTGAACAGACTAAATGGAGTGAGTTGATGTAAGTTTATAGTGCTGAACCTGGACCTACGTTTTGATAGACCCCACATTATTGTGTTATATATATATATATATATGGGTGATGAAAGAGACCACCCACGGAGGGTGAGAGGGGAATTTTATATATATATATATATATATATATATATATATATATATATGTTTCAACTGTTTTTCCCTCCATCTGGCATGCTGCTTAGCCAATTTGCTGTCACTTGATACTTTTTATCATCTGTCGGCCAGAGGATGCTCCCAACTGGCCAAACTGCCTGGCAACTGTAACCAAGGGGCAGACATAACTGTGCTAAGGTTTGAGTTAAATGTAGTGTGAATGAAGTAACCTAAAGGACCTGCAGTCATGCTGGGATGTTGGTTAGATGACTCGTGGATTAAATTGGGAGGATAGTTCAGGTTGGTCTTTGGATGGGACTATTTCAGTATTTTTCACTACTTTATATTTTATGTTCTGTATATTAGAAAAAGTAAATGAAGATTGGAACGTGTTGGGCTGAAATGGAAAGGGACGGAAAAAGAGGTGGAGTAAAAGGGAGGAGAAACGGGAGTGGGGGTAAGTTAATAGAAAATCGACTGCAAGAGAGATAAGTGATATGTAAATAGGAAATGTCTCTAAATTTACCCCTAGGGAAAAAAGCCAGTCTGAGAGATGGGATAATGTTTCAGGGAGCCTCAGGTGCAGCAAGGAGGGTAGGAAAGAGGGAGATCAGGGAGGAAGAGGGAGGGTTTTGTTTGGGTGTGTGTGTGTGTGTGGAAAGAGAGAGAGCGAAACTTGAGTGTGCGAGCTAGAGAGATTGTGTAGGGAGGGAGGGAAGTGTAAGCCAGTCACAGCATCTCTCCTCACTGCACCAGGGCTGAGGGACTCCTCGTCCCCTCTCTTCCCTCGCTGCAGTTTTAACTCATCTCCATCAATGCAGTCATCCTTTTTTTATTTTTGCTTGTTGCTTTGGATAACTGCGTTGCTTTTTCATTTTCCCTATTCCAGGATGCAAGGATTTATTTGTTGAAAAAAACAATCCCAAAGCATGGATTGCCTTGTTTGACTGAGGCAAAAGGGGCTTTTTCCAAAACCCAACGCTAAACACCGGGACTCCAACTGGGACTTTCTTTTTGTTGCTTTGCTGCTAGAGTGGATTCCCCCCTTTTTGTTGAACTTCCAGGATCTTGATCAGAGTGAAAGACGTGGACTTAAAGACAAAGACATAGGATCCTATACAGTTTTCGAGGAGTAGTTAGAAAAACTACGGTTGCATCAAGCACTTGTGGAGAAGGCATCATGTCAGTAACAAGTTTATGGGATAATTGAAAGGTGCACTGATTGAGACCCGTCTCTGCAAGTGTGGCCACAGGGATTTCTGAGGAGTGGAAGTGAGTGGAGCTCTGAGTTTGTCAGCTGGCCTCTCCTTACTCCTAGAGTGTCTTTTCACCCAACCCCATGGGATTCTGACATTTAACCCGTCTATCAGATCCTGCATGTTTTCACATTTTGTTTTGTTTGTGCAACTTGCAGTCCAGTAACTCTGAGAGGCAAGCTCGTACTTTTGGATTTAAGCCTTTTCTGCGTGACGGGGACATTTTGACACGCTTTGTTTGACCAAATTCTAGTAATGCCTTATAAACAAATTCTCCCCCCACTGCCGTATGCGCTGAAAGAGCTGTGACATTATCTGCTGTGGATATCCCGCTGTTATTGTAGCCTGTGTCTGTGTTTTGATTCAGACAATAGCTGGGCATACATGGGCTCCAGACGCTGACAGAGAACCACCAAAATAAGGGAAGCCTCCTCTATCACTCACCACAAATTGAAACTTTGAATTAAACTGAAGAGCCAATCCTCATGAGGCTCTTTAAAATAATCTAAGCTATATTTTTTGTTTGGGAGAGTATCTGCTGGAGGAAGCATGCTCTCAGTTTTGTCCCGTAACCTTGTGTGGTTTCCTTCTTCACATCTTCTGTGCTCTCTGCCCCTGTGGTGACGACTTAAAATCTCCAGCCTCCTGGTGGCAACTCTCATTAAAATCATGCAACGAGGCCACAGATCGGGGCTCCAAACCAGCAGGGAAACTCGCCTCTGGGATCAATGCTGGTAGCGGGACTAATGCCACTTCACTTTTGGTTGAATCATTTTTCCTATTCCACTGACTGCCATGACCAGCCATGCTCAGTTTGAAAGAAGGGAGAAACAAGTTGTCATGTTGTTTCAGAGACCGTACTGATTTTCCTCCAGTCACCGTTCATTTGATTGAGACGCAGTGATGTGAGGGTATGCTGAGCAAAAGCACAGGTGTGCTTGAGAGAATAATACGCTTTTTGAACTGAGGGGTGGTGAAGAACCAGAGGGACACAGGCAGATCTCCGGTTTCAAGTCAGTCTGCTTATGGGTGGCATACGACAAATCTGACTCACCTACACCGAGAAAATGAACCACTCTGAACTGACGACAGATCCTACGCTCACCGCCAACAGCAGCGATGGAGACATCTTTTCTGGCAGGGTCTCCAACCACTCCTGTCCGTTGGGATGGGGGTTGAAGGAAGGCGTGGAGGCGTGCATATTGGAGACTGTTGTCATCGTGCTTTTGACGGTCCTCATTATCGTCGGGAACCTGACGGTGATCTTCGTGTTTCACTGTGCCCCTCTGCTGCATCACTACACCACAAGCTACTTCATCCAGACGATGGCCTACGCTGATCTGCTGGTTGGTCTCAGTTGCCTTGTGCCCACCTTCTCTCTGCTACACTACCCAGCAGGTGTCCAGGAACCAATCACGTGCCAGGTTTTCAGCTACGTCATCTCTGTTCTGAAGAGCGTCTCAATGGCCTGTTTGGCCTGCATCAGTGTGGATCGTTACCTAGCCATAACTAAACCACTATCATACAACCAACTGGTGACGCCATGTCGACTACGAGGCTGCATCGCCATCATTTGGGTTTACTCCAGCCTGGTGTTCTTGCCCTCCTTCTTTGGTTGGGGTAAGCCAGGATACCATGGGGATATATTTGAATGGTGCGCTCACTCTTGGCCCACCTCGGCCATATTCACTGGCTTCGTGGTGTGCTTTCTTTATGCACCCGCCGCACTTGTCGTCTGTTTTACCTATTACCACATCTTTCGCATTTGCCAACAACACAACAGGGAGATCAGTGAACGGAGAGCCCGGTTCCCCAGCCAGGAGATGGAGCCCGGGGAGGGTAACGGCGGTGGGCATCACGGAGGGCACGGACCGGATCGACGCTACGCCATGGTGCTGTTCCGCATCACAAGCGTTTTCTATATGCTTTGGCTTCCTTACATAATCTACTTTCTTCTAGAGAGTTCTCACGTGTTAGATATCCCCGCCCTGTCCTTCATCACCACCTGGCTGGCCATTAGCAACAGCTTCTGCAACTGTGTCATCTACAGTCTGTCGAACAGCGTGTTTCGCTTGGGCATGCGCAGACTGTCACAGACTATGTGCTCTTTCAGCCACTGTGGTGCAGACGAAAGGGATTTTGGGGAGCCCAAACCGAGGAAAAGAGCAAACTCATGCTCCATCTGAGTGACTGCTTTATTAACGGGGTTAAAATTCTCCTAAAAAGTTCATTTTCAGTAGAAAATCTGGAAAGGCCTTTCTGTTTTGTCAAACAATAATCTTGACTCGCTCAAAATAAAATGGTGACTGGGGTTTTCAAGGAGACAGATACAGTGTCTAGACAGAGAATATTAATGAGAGGTGGGCTTTCTGTGATGGATTTTATTATCCCGCACCACAGAGGCTTAGTCAGGCCTTTACATTATGCCAGGCCGAGAGCAAAAGCAAAACGACAAACATCCCCAAAAATGAACAATTAAACAGCTAATTTTACCTTAATGCTTGTCAAACTTTTATTTATACTTGTGATTTTTAATCCATCATAATGTCCATTTAAATACACTTTAAGGTCCCTCATTAACATCAGACATATTTAAAGACATGAACAGTGACCATGACAACAGCAGCTGATGAATATTAAAGCACATAATCATGACTGTTTTTTATTTATTTATTGAGGAAAATATCATTTTTCTAGTTATTCATTTTGTTTTCCTTCGACAACTGATCTGACTGTTGAAATCGGCGCCTTAACAAAGTTATCAATGCATTTTATTTATTTATTTTATTTATTTCTAAACTAATCATTAGCTATAAATGGAAGAAAGCATTTTTTTTTCCAAACGTAAGGATAGTCGCCCAGGTGTGTCTTGTGTTTTCTGTGTGTTTTAGAGTGATGTGTTGAAGATGGTAGTGGATTTTATTTCGGAGCAGCAAAGTGTGGGGGTTTAGATTAATGTAATCTGATGTAGTTTGAAACTGCTGTAAGGATAAATCTGATCTGAAATTACATGCCCAGTTGTGTAAATGCTTAAGCCTGCAGGAACACGGTTATGGGTTGTAGATCTGTGCATTGAACAGTACTCTATTATTCTTTTTTGTTTGTTTTGTCTTATTTTTCTTATTTTTTACAATTTCTTCTTAATAGTGCTCTTAATCATTTTTCTGTGCTTTTTATCAATACATTGTGATAAATAGGAAAGACGACACAAAGCCCTCACACAAAGGTTGGTGGAAATGAAAATTAGATCAAACTCACATCTATATAATGAAATTAAAGTGTTTTACCGGACAGTTTTTAATCTGATACTAATAGTTTAGAAAATAAAGAAAAGAAAAAAAAAGAAAACTGTAGTTCTTTGCTTTAATTTTAATTACTTTTCCTGTTTTGTCACAGCCTAGCCAAAATATTTCAACCTCTTAACCTTTTTTCATATTTTTGATGCTACATCTATAAGCTTGAGTGTAATTTATGGGATGAACAAACACAAAGTGGTGGATAATGGAGGAAAATAAACATGAAACATGGTTTCAATTGTTGCACTCATTTTTATTCAGACATCCTGAGTCAATATTTAATAGAGCAACAATTTGCAGTAATTGGAGCTGCAAAATTTTTAGAGTACGTCTCTACCAACGGAGACTCAAGTGTTGCTCAAACTCAGTGAGGTTGGATGGAGAGTATATCTGGACTTAGATATTCAACTCTGGCCAATGATTCTTCTCTGATTTCAGGTCTGTTCTTGCTGGTCCATTACATACAAATAGGTTTTCAAAGCACCTCATTGTAATTTTGGATGCTACTTAAGTTAACCGACCTTCTCTTAAATCTTTTCCTGCCTGAACGTGATTATATTTGTTTATTTGTCTCCATTCATCGATTCATAAATTGCGAAAAGCTGTTCCTGATGAAGGAAGGCATCCCCACAGCATAATGCTACTCCTACTATGTGTCATTGTTGATATGATGTGCAGTCCAGTTCATCCTTAGCCTCTTCTGACCGTTCTTCCTCATGTTTGCTGTTTGCTCCAAATGACTGATTGCAAACTTTAAGCAGAATATCTTATAGATTCCTTTAATTATTTTTTTCTATTTTCCATCATGACCAGATTGTCCACAGATGTCCAACCTGAGCCTGTGGCTTTAAACCTCTGAATTGATTTGTATTTATACAGTTTATTTATATTTATACAAATAAATTCAGAAGTTTAAATAAATTAAGTTATGCAGTTTGATCCAGTTTGATCAAATTTCTAAGTATTCTGCTTATAAAATTAAAGAAATTGTATGCATCCTCTTTCAGTGACTCTACAACCATGCATTACTTTGTGTTGGTGTATCACATAATATCCCTAATAAAATACATGGATGGATTTAGTTGGAGGTTATGGAATATTTTGTAAGGGATAGGATGCAAGCTTCAAATAAAATGAAACGTAAGTTTTTATTCTCATCTGTTGCTTAGGAGTCAAAATATTCCAGTTTCAGCCCTGATCAGCTGCTTCCTGGTAAATTTTAATTAATGTTTCCAATAGGAGCTTCTCTCAGTTGAAGTACCATACTCTCACAGTAATGTTTAAGCCTTAATATGTTAGGTACTTTTTGGGATTCTTTTTGTGTTTAATAAGAAAAGCAACAGAGCACATGTGTCCCTTTAGGACTGTGTTTCGCCCATTTGCTATTCTCTGTGTTTTCCTCGCTTTAAAGCTGCTGATTGCATTGTCGTATGTTAAAAAGCAGATTACATTCAGACTTCTTAGGAGTCAGTGTGGCTTTGTTTTTAAGCCAGGATTTGGTAAATCGTAATGTGACTGGAAACGTTTGTTTCTTGTAGCTTAATGATCTACCTGTTTAAAATAATGAAAGGTGAATTCTGTGAAGCTACAAAATGTTTTTCATGCAGCTTTAATGCACTACACATTGTTCTGCTTATGTGCCTAAAAAAAAAAGGTTGTTTTGTAGGAAATGGATGTTTAGAAATGATAAACATGAAATGCTGCATTTTTAAAACCACCCTCAACATGTTCAAGGATCATTGGACTTTCTTTGCCATGACTTTGTGAAAACTGCAGTGACAACCACTGGGACTATGAGTTGCTTTTAATCTTTGATTTCTCTCTGTCCCATCTGTGGTAGATTTCCCCTTTGTAGCTATACTGTCTGGTCTATATAAAGAATAACAAAGGGAAGCACCAACAAATACCAGCCTCACAATACTCTGTCATTTGACTTTAATGGGATGCATTTTTGGTGCTTTTTTTCTTTTTTTAGTTCTGTTGGATTTTAGGTGAAAATTAGGTCAGGTAGAGCAAATGTGCTGATCAGTCCTGTATAAACTTAATGTGGTAAAAAGTCATTAACAGAAAAAGAAAAGTTTCTTTTAAAGTAAACTTATAAAGTTCATTTGTTAACAAAATTGACTTTGTTTACTGAAATTGCAGATTATTCTTCATCTGGTATGATTTGTTACAGGGTATTTCAAGAAGATATTATAAAAAAAAACAACAATAAATTAATGTTTCTGTACGGCACTGAACAAACCGCAGTGGTAGCAAGTCAAAAACTGTAACATGTTGTAAACAAGTCCTCTTGATTTCATGTGCATTGATAGGAACATTTGCACACGACTATAAATTAGAGGGTGATAGATATTTATTAATAAAGTGGTTTATAAATATTTACACAGTATACTGTATATGGGAATACTATATGTAAAGTGTGTGTAACTTGTTTTTACTCTGCTGTGATCCTCACTTTTCAAAAAGAGATAAAGCAAGGTATGTGTGCATATATTTGTGTTAAAACAACCTCTATAGGCTGCTGCTGTTTTGAGTAGAAGGTGAGTTTGTTAAATTACACAATCTATATTTTTTTATTTTGAAACTGTGTCAAAAAGACTATGGTTTTGCTGTTACTGCCGAACCAAATAAAAGTAAAAAAAAAAAAATATTGACGTACACGCTCCATGTTGTTGCCGTTATTTGTTCTTTTATTTTCAAAAGGAGCAGTTATTGACATCTTTCTCCAAACGAATGAGAACAAGAATAATGTTTTTATTGCTGTTGTGTTTTACATCCAATAATGAGACAATAGATAAACATTTCAGCTTTTATCTAAAGATACTTACATGTGGATCTGCTTTATGGAGATGTGTGACAAATATCTACTTTTTGGGTGATCTTTCAAGCCTGGTGTTTCCTGTTATAGTAATAAGTTAAACAACAAGTAGAGCTAGAAGTCAGCTCTCAGTTGGGTTTTTTCTTGATCAGCCTGCAGTGATGGTTTGAGTTGTAACCAATGTCAAAATCAGAGAGCTTTTCAATAGGTAAAAAACAATCTGAGCCTCTGCACAAACACTGGCCATATGACTACGTATGATTATTTGGAGTATCCTGCAAAACCTGCAGAACTGTTTGGACTGAGGAAGTCATTTTCCACACCTCAGCTCCATAGGGCATGCATTTTACCTACTGAGAGGAAACTGAGGGGATTAACCCCCCAAGAAACAAACAACAAATGCCAGAAGCCAAGACAGCCTGGAAATTATAGTGATCCCAGTGGCTCGTCCAGAAAGTAAAGAAATTTCAACTACATATTAATTATTGATTATTGAATTAAAGTAAATTGAGTCCATCAGTTGAAATTAACTTATTTTTTCATTTCAAGCTAATTTTTTTTTTTTTTTTGCAGTCTTCAGCAAAAATAAATTCTCTTCACTAATATTTTATAAGGAGGAATTTGCAATAAATTGAACAAAAATAATTGTCAGTAGTTCTTCAAAGGAGTGAGTAGTTGTGGAGAATTGCAATCTGCATGTATCTCTGTACTTTTGCCTCAGAAGAAGTATTAAATGCATCATATAGCATATGGATTTCTGTCCTGGAAATCCACTTCTTAGTAACATGTTGTAAGAAAATGCAACTCAAGATTTAAAATTCCACCTTATTGCCGAATGAGTGATGAGTTTATGTTGCAACGTAGCGTCATCTTGTTCGTGTATTTCTTCTTCCAAACCATCATATCTTCTGTTGATATTTACTTTGTATGAGTGTGCTTTGTTCCTGGTTGTAGATTTGCCTTTGAAATCCTTCAGATGAGCTTCTAAACCTCCAGAATGTAACTATCTTAGGATGTAGTGAAGAAAGCTTTAAGGGGAGATGGTAAATAGTTCAAAGAACTGAAACATCTTGGAAACGATTTCTTTGAAGTTGGAGACTAGAGCAAAAATGGCAGTGGTTGGATAGAGCTTTGAGAGAGTTGTAGAAAAATCAAGAGCTTTATTGTAGAAACAGTTAAAGAAAAAGAAAGCAAGAGACCTCGGTAATAATGCTACAAAATGAAGAAATCAACTGTAAAAAAATATATTTTGTCATTTCCCATTCTTAGAATGTTACGGCAATTCAAGTAGATGGATTTTAACATTAAAGGACTTTTGTGTCTTTCACAGAACTTTGACCAATAAAACACCTTTGGCAGATCTAGATTTTCAGTTCAGAATTTTTATTTTATTTTATTTTTGCTGAAAGTTCTTCTTTTGTGTGGTTTTTCATTCTCCTGAATGATGTGACCGCAGTGACACTTCTGTGTGAACGGTTTACGTCCCCAAAGCGACCCGCATGCACAGAGGAAGAACGTTGATGCAACCATTTACAGAAGTAACAATGGATGCAGCCGTCTACCGATTGATTTTAAAGTTTATTCAGCTGTGGGAGTCAACAGTATCATCGCAAGTTCATAACATAAATTAAACTAATAAAAAGGAAGCACAACGAATTGCAATGTCTGGGTATGCAGTCAGAGCCAAGAGTGGTGGGATTATGATGTGATGCACTTCAGTGGCAAATATATTTTACATAAGTTCATAATCATCATTTATAGCCATTGTTTAACTCCAGATTTACCACTTTGTCCTTCCTTTTTCTGGTGCAAAATTATTATGCATGTGTCAAATTGATGACATGAAAGTCAGATAAAATGTGACATGACTGTTCAGACTGCAGACACGAAGCCTTCTTGTCCAACATCAATGTCTGATCTCTGTGCTTCTTGAGAAATAGTAAAACAAAAAACACCTCTCTTTTCCAGAAGAGTCAAAGCTCCTGTGGCAGCCATCATATCTCCACCCGGCCTAGAGTCATCTTTAACTCTCTGGGTTAGGCATTAGTCTTGTTAATTGTTTTCCAGCATTTTGTGTTCCTGATAGAAAGTAGAAATTGTGACAAAATGACAGGATGTGAAATATATTAAGTCCAGTGAGAAAATGGTTAAGCCCAAGATTATTCATGCCCCTGGCAGAGTTAGCTTTAAAGAAATCTTTTAATTTTATCAGCGTCCTTCTTCTAACTGGAAGTATTATTAATGCTTGGGCGTCCTGCCTTGATTCTGACAGAGAATCTGTTTCTCCATCCACCCACATTATTACAGATGTGACTTGACTATTAGGATTCAGCATGGATGCTCGTTATTATTGTTAATGTTACTATAGTTTGTTTTTTTATTATAAGGAGCAATTTCATTTCCAACTCTTCGTAATCCGTTCCCTTCAGACTTAAAGTGAGATATTAGGCACAAGTCAAATGTTCAGTACAACTTTAACCCACAGAGATATTAAGACATTTTGAGAACCAGATTAAAGTTACTTTTTACCGCTCTACAAAACTATATAAAACACATTCTTACTAATAAAAAATCCTTGAGCCATTTCTCTGTGTTGAGAGATAAATCATTTTTGGCACAAAATCTTCGTTTTTATTTTTGTTTGGGTTCTTTTTTTTTTTCCAGCTTTGCAGTCACAGTTACCATTCAGCCAACCCAGAATGAGCAGCTCCCAGTCCAAGCCAGCTCAGTATTCACAGCCAAGACTATATTAGGAATTCCCTTTCATTTCCACAAATGGCCTGCAATCAACTACGTTTTTCTTTCCCGTTCCATCCTGCCACTTCCCTCCTTCCGTCCCGGTTGAGAAAGGACCACCTGACCCTCTGCCGAGGTGGGGGATCATAATTGGAGAGGAAGCCAGATCCTGAGTGCTGATGGCGGAGCCTCGCGGCAGTCACCAAAAGCCTTTGATGGTGTAACGAGGACACACTCATACACCCACTCTTCGACTCTCTCATGCATCTTGCATGACTCTTTGAGTACGTGGGCTGCAGACTGTGGTTTGATAGCTGACAGGTGTGTCCTTTACAGGCTTTAATAGCTCCAAACAACTTTTATAATAGAAGCTATTAAGGCTCAGATAAGAATTTACTACTTTTTATTCTACTGGGGGCAATAATTTGTGGACTAAATGTCAAATCATCCACTGGCTTGCAAAATGTTTCCTTCAACCTATTTATCGTTCTCAATCATTGACTTGAAAAGGTAATTTATTTTAATCTACATAAAGTATTGTACTTGGGAGCAGTCTCATACAAAAGGACTCCAACAAGGGTTTAGTAGCTTTTATATTGAAAACTTTTCTGAGTTTTCTTTTTGTTTAAAGTAAATGCCCCACAATCTAATGTTGTGGCAAAGGCTGCTGTCTTCAGATTTCACTTTCAGATACAAGTGGAAGAAACAAAAAGACATTCAATGAACCAGGATCTTGGCAGGTTAAATAACATAATGTTAAAGTCTAATCATGGAGTTTTTATTTTTGGTTTTATTGCAAAATTTGTGGAACATGCAGCAAATATAATCTTGTTGGGCTTTAGACCCAGAGCATTGAGACATTCTGATGTTGTACCATAACATGAGGATGTGCTGAAATTTTTACTTCATCCTGCTGCTTAAAACTGGCATTGCTGGAAGATATTTGTCATCTATTTTATCTATTGGAGCACATTTTTAATTTTCCAAGTATTTGACCAGTCGTGTTTTCTGTTATTGCATCTCTTCTCAACATAGTTGTCAGCCGCATTTTGCACTTGCAAAAAGAGGGCGAGTAATTACTTATTAGTAGGTATCTGAACTATGTTCTGATCATGTTTGTCAGGCTACGTATGAATATGTGTACAACAAATATTCCATTCACATTTATAGCCAAAACACACAGCTTGACACAGTAATCTCTGATTTAACCAATAGACGTACAATATAACGATGACCGAAACCTTCATGCGAACATGTTGTAGTTGTAACATCGATCACTGTTGTATTCAGCTGCTCACGAGGTCGACCACAGGCATTTAAACATCTTTTACATTGTTCCAGACTCTGTTTGAGTTTTGGAAAAGGAATAAACTCTATTCCTCCCTCTAAATACTTTGGGTAAAGCATATCTTGAGTACATGTTCCCCTCTGATGACGTTTAGCCATTTTTTCTGATTATTTTCCACCATATCTCTGTGACTGTAGCATATTTCTAATGATAAACCTCCAAGTAAGGTACGTTTACAAATTTTGACCGCTGATTGGTCAGTTGCTGACAAACCTGCTGGATTGATTGACAGGTGACGTCATGTCAGTTGGCTTCCAGACTGAAAGCAGCACTTCCTCAGCTTTCTGCTGGAGTATGTAGCACTTTGACCTGCTCACCCACAGAGAAGTGGAGCCAAAACGAGCCAGCATTTTCAAAAATAACAAGTAGATAATGACCACATTTTATCTGCATTTTTTTCCTGCTAAAACTAACAATAGAAGCTAAGCTTGCATGATGAGTCAGAGAGGAAGAGATGAAATAAAGGAGGGAAAATTGTGATGAGACCCTGTGATTCAGAGAGCCGCGTTTCCACATTGATCTGTTCGGCCTGGAGCAGTTTGATAGATATCTTGTCTCTAATGGCTGCATGGGTGCAAAGCGCTCAGTGGTCAAAGTTAAACAAGTTTCAACTTCGACCTGAGCACAGCACCAGCTCCAGCACGCTGTAGGAGCTGCGCTACGCTTGCTCTTTGCTCAGCAGAGCTAAAACCATTGTTGCATGGCATACGCGTTCAGCGTGGCAGCTGCTTTTAAAGAGGTTAGTTGTATCTGACGGT